ACACACACACACACACACACACACACACACACACCAATAGCTTTGTCCATATGTATCTTCTCTTTCAGACTTTTTGTAATAAGAAACAAGTAGACATTTATTGAAAAGATTATTATTTTTTCTATATTAATTTTACTTATCCTAAAAACTAATGTTCCTCAAAATTTCTGTGTTGAAACCAAAACCACTTATTGCATTTAAAATACACTGCAATACAGTTCTACACCCTTGGTCAAAATTATTAATACCCCCCCCTGGAATTTTGTATGACAGGTAACAATTTTATGAGAGTTGAATGAATTATAAAGCTTACACAAATGTGTTTAAAAAAGTTTGAAGAAGTTCTCCCTTGATAAATTGTTTCCTAATTCCATGCATTTTGAAGTTTTATTCCATAGATCACATGCTAGTAGGGGACTGCTTGTAAAAAAACCAGGTTACCCTTCTCAGTTGGCCTTATCCTACTTGAACATCTATGATCTGTCAACTCTCAATGATATGGGAAGTTTGGAAAGTAGCAAGTAACTATTTCAACTGAGATTATTGTAAAGGAAATTAATTTTATTGACTGTTAACATTCAGATTCCCAAGTGCATCAATTTGATGCAACTGTTGTATGGTTTGTTTTTATTGCATTTCAAAAAAACAACTATTAGATGAAATAGCTTGAAACTTCAAATAAACTATCTAAAAACAATGTTGCTTCTGCAAATGAAATATTATTGTGTGTGATATTTGTAGCTTTGAAAATTCAAAACAATTTCATTGTTATGTATTTTAAAAAACAACTGAGATTGCATACCTTTATTGTGGATTTTAATTACTGAACTTGTCTTTTCCTACATTCTTCTAAAACTTTCCTATATAGCTGTTAATTAATAAAACTGTAAAATTTATATCTGTCTTGATTTGAAAACTACATGCTGTTTCACTGTGTTTCTGATCACTTGAATACAACAAAAAAAATAATAATTTTATATCAAAATTATTAGCAAACTACTTTTTTTTTACTATTAATCTTTTCTGTTATTTTTTTGTTCCATTCAAGCAGTTACTTAGGTTGATAAGGCCTAATGTAAACATAGCCCAACATGAAAGCCACATTGTGAAACAAAGTTTGATAGGGTTGAGGGTAAGATGATTTAACTAAGTCTATCTCATCTTGTACCATGAGAACTACTTACTCTCCAATTGTACTATGACATAATTCAAATGAAGTATCTACTATATAAAGATAAAGAGCCGTCTGTCTGTCATGCTGATGTCTTTGCTTTTGTGGTACCAATCAACATGCAACTTGTGTGAAAGAATGGTGCTTTTTGCCACGACAATGAAGTTTGTTTTTTAAATTCTTCCAGCCATGTATATATATATGGATAATGCACTACTTTTGGGATTATAATTAGATCTGAGGATATGTTGGTAGAGATTGAGATCAGTAATAAAATTAAATCAGGTATATACATGCCCTACACTTGGTATTGCTGGCACACAAAAATCATAATCATTGGATGAAATTCCCCATTACGTTTGCTTTGTTGTCAAGGGTAAATACTGTCACAACATTACCAAATTTTGTCCAATCAGAAGCCTCAGCTACAACTCTATAATGACCTGCATGTTTTACCCACAGCATATTTCAATTTTGAAAATACCCAAATTGAAGTGTGTTCTTCACCTCAACAGGCTAACAAAGCCAAAACCAGGAAGACAGTCCAAAAAGAACACCTCGAAGTTCTTAATAAAATTCACTGACTTTACCATCATAATTAATAACTTGCAGTGTCATACAGTTGACCAAGTAGGAATATGTCTTTAAGAATCAGTTTTTCAGCATGTTTCAATCTATAAGGATTTATCAAGAACATTTTAACATAACTTAAAAATATATAGAAGTCAAATTGCTAATCAAGCAATACTTAAAGATGACCAAGTATACATAAAAAAAATTTTCATGGAATACCAGAAATAGGATAGGTATTCTCAATACATATGTTGTTACTAGATCATAATTTAATTTTAAAAAACATGTTCATAGAACATTTATTTAGATATAATTTTGAGAAGAAAAATTAATAATTATTTCCCACCATATGAAGCGCATTCAGCTTGTAAATGGTAAAACATGATTTTATAATAATCAAGACTGTAATTGTGGCAAATGTTTTTCACAAACATCTTTTCTTTGAGCAAAATATCAAAAAACTAAGAATTTATTACTTTCTTTTAAATCTCTGCTGACTGCACATGTTCCATTGACTTGCACAGAAAAGAACTGTCATTCTGTGTTTAGATTACTAGCTTTTGGCTTCTCAGAGTTGAGATTTAGGCAGTTACATCATAAGAACCAAGTGTGAGAGAGTGATTGGCTAAAAATTCATAAAACTATACTTGTATTTTAGTTACAAGGTCAAATTAGCACTATTTTGTTCAGAACTGTTATGACTTTACTCTTGGGGGAGATTATGAGTGCCATATTATGTTTGGAAAAATTCAGGAAAACCACGAACACTAATGATTTAGTTTGGAGCACACTGAAATCAACCCAAAATCAAAGTTATTGATTAAAAAAAAAAGTTAGTATAAATTTCAGTGAAAGAAATATTTATTGAATCAATTTCAACCCTGAAGTTTTGCTCTGAATTTGTGAAAGAATGACTACAGGTCTATTTTCTTTATTATTTTTTTAATTCAATGATGCATTTATTGTGAAGTTATCTTCTGATAATGCACTACTGGTAATGCATCTGTTCTGTTGTCTTCCTAATGTCTGTGGAGTACTTACTTGTAACTGTCAACAATTTGGCATCTTCAAACCAGTTAATGAACTCAGTTGCCTTATCTTGCTATAGCAGTTTTGTTTGGCATACATATTGGCAGTTTTACCTGTTCAAGGGAGAAATTTGGTATCTTTGTCCTAAGTCCATATTGGTCCTGTTAGATGTTTTCAGGTCTAATTGGATCCAGTGTTGCCTCTATTTATCCATTTCAAAAAGTTATTAAAAGCAGGCATGCTCTTTCAACCATCTTGTCCTGCAAAGTCCTTGAGCTCATCTATATTTGTTTCTTATCCACACAGTTAAAGAACTTTCTCAAGGAACTGCTGTGACTCTTTGGGGATGAACTGAAGAATTAGGGAATGGGACTGACTACAGGTGACAGACAAACTAGGCCTACTTGACTGACTACAAAGCGTAGGTGCTAGTCATCAGAAATGCACTTGAAGATTTCATATCTGTAAATACAGATATTCAAATTTCTAATTTCCTGTATTTATAGGTAATATATATTTAAAAGATACTGCATCATTGAAATCATTAATACATGACCATATATAGTGAAGCAAAATGGAAAAAAAAAATTGCAGTAAAGATGACTATCCATTGTTCCACTCCTGTCATCTGAGTGTCATTGTTATTACACAATTACACATATCTATCTTTATATGAATAAATTATAATAATTACATTTCAGGCATAAGTTAATTATATCTCAAATATTTAGACATTATATTCTTGAACAGTTCTTAATTTATCTTACCCTTTTTTCATAAGAAGTCTGTCAGAAATTACTTTTTAGTAGAAAGTAAATATATGGTGTGAATAGTAATGTAAATATATGGTGTGTTGGGCTAAACGAAAAGCGTGTACACCATTTTGTTTTAAAATAATATATATATTTGAAACAAGTTAAACGTATACAAAAGTTCTTTACACAATGAAGATCATAATTATATTTTAAACACTATACAGTTCTCTTCTTTTGGCTGTTCACTCCCACGATGGTTAACTTTACGTTATCTAATTTTTCTCTGACCGAACGTCTCTTTCACATGACTTTACTTTTACTCTGTTTCCACTTGACTAGTTGCAGCTGTTTATACGTCTATCACTTAGGCTTTCTAGGAGTCTATAGCTTTGACATTAATGGATTGAAACACAATGTTTGATAGCCTCGACATCAATGAGTTACAAACACAAAATAAATAAATTAATAATACTACCTACATTAAACAGTCTTTTGTATCTGACAAAGTCTTTCAGGATTCCAGTTGACCTCTTATGTGC